AAAAATGAGAGGCAGCATAAAAAGAGGCACTGATAAGGGGCAGTGCAGATGCCAGGAAGGAAGACAGAATTTCCTTAGCATCAAGATTAAGAAGCAGGGTGACATCTGTGACACTTTCCTGGCCAGGAACAGGCAGCTGGAACGTGGCCACCACTGGGCTTGGCAGCAGCTGGAGATTTGTCAATTATTCCATAAAGGGTGAACAAGATTCTCCCTGGAAAACCAGAGCTGGCACTTACTTGCATGATGGATTTCAAATCTGCTTCTCCCCTCTGCAAAGCTCAGAGTTCAACACTGGACAGACCTAATCTATAGAAATTAGGGAATTTATAAATTTACCCACCTGCCCTTGAAGAACTTGCTGCTTTTTATTGTGCAGCTCAAGATAGGAATTAATCTTCTCTGAGTGTAACCCCAAAGTCCGTTTGTTTTTTTTCACAAAGTTTTTTTTTGCTTTTTGGGGTGGATCCTGTTGATTCTGGGGAGGAAAAGCACGGCCAGGATTATCTTTGGAATGAAATCCATCTGCAGGTTCCTTCCTTTTGGCTTGTGGCCCAACAGGTTTGTTGCTGGCCACATTTTCTCCATAAAAACTGAATAATTCGGGACCAAACCCTGGCAGTGAATCCTGGGTCTTTGCCTCCTGTTGATTATTTTCTGAGGAGCCATCACAATGGAGATAAAATGAATCCAGTGAAAAGTCCTCACTGCTTCCTCCAAAAATTTGGGATTTCTTCTCTGCCTCAAAAAAATCTGCTCCCATTTTTGCACTCTTCCAATGAGGATTGTACCTCAGGCTGGAATATTCATCCAGAGGCAGCTTTTTCCTAATTAAAAAACAAACACCAAATTATTTCTGCATAAATTGTACAAATTCTGTATTATTTCAGTGTGCAAACAGATGTCCTGTCATGGCCAAATGAATTATTTCAGTGCATTCAGTATGAGACCAGGATCAGAACAGTTTTATCAAGGATTTTTTGGTAGAAAATTTAGGCAGGACTTCCTTTTTAATTTCCATCATCAGTGAGTGATAAATTGGTCTAACACTCAGATCACAGAGGAGTACAATCATTATCCTAAATTTGGCACAGAATTTTTTAAATCCTAGTAGAATCAGCTAAAAGGTGAAATGATAAATTGCATTGTTCTGTTGTCTCCTTAAAAATTATATAGTCTACAAATGGCAGATTATATAGTCTACAAATTGTGTTGTTCCTTCTTCAAAGGCTCTGCAGAGTGAAATAAAAGTGAAATCCCCAGTAAAATCAGTTTTTCAAGTGTCCTTTTGAGACTGTCTAAGCAAGAACAGCTTCCAGCTCTGTGTTCTTATTTTCTCTGAAACATCCTGATGCTTTGATTAAAAAACTCTTCCTACAAAAGATGTAAAATCACTTTTTATTAAAAATCAGGCAGTGATTCGAGAAGAGTAGAAAAACGTAAATGAGAAGTCTGTGTTTGACAAATTTTTTTAACAAGTGGCTAAATTATTACTCTGGGTTACATTTGTCATAAAGCAAAGCCAGATGCTCTGCCTTAAAAAATCCTCAGTTGATCCAATTTCTGATTTAAGATCTAATCCAATGGGAGGAAAACCAACTGCAGGAGTCAAATCCATCCAAACAGGATTCCAGGAGATGTGCAGGTAGTGGCAGGAGGAAGGAATGTGGGAGAAAAAAAATGCTTTTAACACATTTTTTTCTTCCCTGGACCTGCAGTACAGCCCTGGTTTCTTGGTGACTCTGCCAAAGAACACTACAGGCACTGAAACCTGGTTGATTCTTCAGCTCCTGGTAAAGAAATCTGCTGGATTCCCCAACCTGTGGCCTTGTTAATGATATTAAAAAAAAAATTAAATCATTTATTCATCGTTTCTCAATGAGTTACATGCCTCTGCCTATATTTCAAGTGGCTCCTAATAACGAAATAATCGTAACACAAAGATCAATAATAACAACAAAATAAGTTTGTCTTTGCTTTCCAGGTGAGCATGGCTGCCACAGCCTCCTGGAGCTGATTTCCACCAGGGAAAACATCATTTTTCCCAGCTGGCAGAGGCTGCAGGTAAACAGCACTGGAGGTGAGGCTGTTTTGAAGTGAGTACAGAAATATGCGAGCTAATTGCAATGATTGAAATGGCAGAGGACAATGCTAAAGAGTCCCTTTGTGCTGAAATGTGTGCACAGAACCCAGTTGTGGGACTCAGCCCAGGTCACTGCGCGGGGACAAAATGAGTGTGAAGAGCTCCTTCATCCCTAATCATCCCCAGACAAAAAAAGGGCACCTTTTATTCCTGCCCCCAGCTCTGTGGGGAGGTTGGATGGACTCGGTGCTCCTCAACAAAAGTGTGGTGAGCAGACAACAGCTGCAGCATTTCCTCTTCAAATTCCGAGGTTGGTAATGGATGTAGAGAGGGGGTTTCATATGTATGTGCTGTGATATTTGCTCTGCTTAATGGACTGCACTGGAGTACTTACTGGGCTGAGTTCAAACAAAATAAAATCAAATTTCCATTTAATGAAGAGCCTCACATTCAGCACAGTATTCAGTCCAAAAAAATTACTAAAAATTAGAGCATGTTTCTAGTACAATTAACATCATTTGCACTCACAATAAAATATTCAATAACTGGCCATTTTGCTTGTTGAGGAGGTGAATAAAAGCATGCTATTAATCATTTAGCCTTCATTTGTTTGTCATTTTATTTTAAGTAGACTATTAAATTGAAACTGCACATTGTTATTACTTCGGGTTTAATGTAATCTCTTTAAACTCAAGAATTATTCCCAATTTATCCAGGGTTAAACCTTCCATGCATATGACAGGAAATTCAATTTTATTTTATGTACCGAGTTAATGCTTTCTTAAAGGTTGTTTAAATGTGGCCTTGAGGAACATCAGGTTAAAAGTGTCAGAATCATTCTACTCCACTAAAGTTTTTGCCTTACCTTCCACTGCCATAAATCTTTGGTTTTCCTTTCATTTTTGTGTCATACTCAGCTTCTTTCTCTTCAGAACTCATCTCCTCCAAGCTGTCCTCTTCCACTACGTCATCCTCCAGGATGTCACCAGCATCCTGCCCTACCAGCTCCTGATTTTCCAGGAGTGCCAGCTGGTACTGCCTCTCCTTTTCCTGGCTGTCCGAGTCAGAATCCTGGGAATCCTCCAGACTGGAGGCAGAGCTCCTTTCCCTTTCCCAGCTCGCAGGTTGGAAAACGGGAGGCATGAGGATTTTTGGAGGGACGTCGATGTTATTTGTGGTGTAAGTGGGTGGGGAAGAGACTGAAATGTATTTCATGTTTGAAGGATTCATCCCGTTTTGCACTGATGGCTCACACCAGCCCTGCATTTGGAGAACACATAAAACATTTTAATACAATTTAAAAGCTGCATTTGGGTGCTACCATTGGCTTAGGCTCAGAATTTGACCTTCTATTGTTCAAACAATTCTCTATTCTCATCTGTCCCACTGATTTCCCTTTAAGCAATAATGTCAAGATCTCTACATATCAAAGACAGAATTTACTGCTATGAAATCTCAGTTATTTGTGGTAATAAATAATGCAAAACCAGCTTGTGACAAAGAAAACTAAGCTGAGGCAAAGCATCTGTTAACTTTGAGAGTTAAAATTAATATTATTTGTTCTCTTCATGCAACTTTATGCCCTCTGGCCATGTAAAATCAGCAAGAAGGTGTGTCAGGGAGCACAGGGAGAACTGGAGCTCTGACTAAATTGGGATGAGAGTTTTTTTCCTTACACTTGGCTGAAGTGGTCAGAAGTCGTTTGCACTGCCAGATATTCCTGAGTTGAAGTGGGAGGGAGGAAAAGGAGTGTTCTGAGGTGTTCTGTGCTGAGATGTTCTGTGCTGAGATGTTCTGTGCTGAGACGTGCATCAGTGCCAGCACGGTCAGAGGTGCACAGGCAGAATCATTGCAGTGCCTGGGGATAAAGAATTTCGGATATTTTGTCCTGCTGCTCACAGCCAAGTTCACCCTGCAGGCAGTGTGACACCTGGACAGTCCCCTGTGTGTCCTGTGTGTCCTGTGTCCCCTGTGTCCCCTGTGTGTCCTGTGTGTCCTGTGTGCCTGTGTGTCCTGTGT